CCTTTTCCGGGTTGGGTTTCCAGCATATTTACCCGGGGGGAGCCCGGTCCCTTTTTAGGAATTTTTTAGGACCCGTTTGGGAATTTTTTGGGGGATGTACCGGGGGGACCCCGTCACGGTCAGGGGGGGCCACAGGGAGGCCCCAGCCGGCCCGTATTACACGGTCACGTTCCGAAGCGGGGGAGTTCGCGACGTCGACGAGCTCGAGGAGCCGACGCCGGAGGCCATGGCGCGGGCGATGGAGCAGATGCGGCGCGAGCTCGAGAGCATGCAGGCGAGGTCACCCGAGGCCACTCACGAGATCGCCGTCCGCCACGAGATCGCCCCGAGGTCGCCCTGACACCACTATTTTTCCTCCCCCCCCCCCCCCCTCTCCACTTCCCCCCTTCCTTAGGTTGCCGCCGGATCCCCCCCGGGCGTGCTCACTGCGCCGTTCGGCGGAGAGGCGATGGCCCTCGGCAGCGGCGACGCGTGCATGGGGGGCGAGACGCCGCTCAACACCGAACTGCATCCCGGCGGTGGCTTGCCTCTGGGCGGAGAGATGGCCTCCGGCAGCGAGCAGGTTGCGCCCTCGGCCTTCAGCTTCCTGGCGGGGGACGGCGGCGGCGGCGGTGTGCGGGAGGGCGGCGGCGGCGCGCTCTCGGCGGACCTCTTCAGCTCGTCGGTCAACGGGGCCGCTGCCGGAGTTGGCGGCGGAGCGCTCTCGGCTGAGCTCTTCGGCGGCGGTGACGACGGCGGTGGCGGCGGGGCTCTTATGGGTGTAGTCGAGCCCGAGCCGGCGGTGGGGGAGCATGCCCGAGGAGGGGAGGCCAACGGCAGCGCATTTGCCTTCATGAGCGGGTGACCGCGCGCTGCTAGGCGGGTGAGGAGTGTCTCCGTCACTCGGTGTGGAGCGGCGGGCTTGGTGCTGGCGCTAGGCCAGCGCTAGACAGGCCGCAAGGCGAGGCGAGGGCCCGAGCAATATAGGAGCCGTAGCAGGCGGAGAGAAAACCCGCTAACCGGCGCGTTCGCCCTCTCCGCGGTCCACGTGCGCCCCTGGTCTTTGCTCTGGTCACGCCTCTCCTCGCCCATGTGTGGAGAGTCGAGAGAGCCGCAGGAGGCCCAGAGCGCTTCCACGATGCGTGTGTGTACATGGCGACGTGTAGAGGTTTGAATAGATTTCCGCTGCCGAGACGTCCCGAGCCACACCTATACTCTTACTAGACGCGAACGATATATACACACGGCGAGGGGGGCGATCCTCGTGGCGACTACGACCGGCTGCGGTGTGCCCCGCCGGACCCAGGCACCCTGGGGCATCTGCGACGTCCGACGAGTAGTAAGAATGTTGGTGCGTTGTCCTGTGAGGAAGCGAGCTGAACACACATCTGCACAGGGGTCGGCGGCCTCGGCCTCGCCCGGCTGTCACGTCCCAGTCGGCTCACCCGGCCGAGGTATCGCTGCTGAAGAATGGGTCCCGCTGGAGCAGCGCAAGCTCTGCGCCGTCGAGCGCCCTCTGCCCAAACTCGACGTCGTCAGTGATGGCCTGTCGCGCGGCGAGAGGTGGGGGCGCATCTCGTCAGAGAGGACACAGCACGTGGGACCGTGAAGGCACAGCGCGCCTGGATCAGCTCGTCGAAGGAGTCGAACTTGACGTTGGACCGCAAAAAGGCGCAAATCATCAGCCGCATCTCGGCCCCGTAAAAGTCGCGGCCGCAAAAGTCGTGGCACAGGTACGCCTCCTGCGAGGGATGGCGAGAGAGGGAGGCAATCGCGCGCGCCGCGGTCAGGGTGGCCGAGGCGCGCGCGGCGCACCACTGTCCGCTGCTTCACGTCTGTGTAGGTCGGGTTCCATCCCATCGAGAGCACGGCCTTGTGCACGGCTTGCGCCTCCTCGGGCAACGTCGGGTCGCGGATGGCGGCCCAGCCGACGTACACGCCCTCGGTGCTCGCGTCGAAACGCGACTCGAACGCCGCCGGGTCGAGGTTCGCCGTCGGCCAGCCCAGCTGCTTGGAGCCGCGCTTGAAGCCCTCGACGACCTTGCCCGTCAGGCGGTGCGGGCCAACAGGGTCGATGACGCGCTGCACGGCGGTCCGGCACATCGACGCTGTCAAGCGAAAGCGCGGGCCGTGTAATCGCGTGAGCTGCGGTGATCCAGAGCGGGCCCAGGTGTCGGAGTCGGATCGCGCGCCCTGTATTTCTTTTTCGCTGAGAGCACCTCACTCCGCCGCCGCCGCCGCTCACGCTGCCGCCGCCCTCCACCTCCCCCACGCCGCCGCCGCCGCCGCTCACGCCGCCGCCGCCCTCCACCTCGCCCACGCCTCCGCCGCCCTCCACCTCTCCCATGCCGCCGCCGCCCTCTACCTCGCCCACGCCGCCGCCGCCCTCCACCTCCCCCACACCGCCGCCGCCGCCGCTCACGCCGCCGCCGCCCTCCACCTCGCCCACGCTTCCGCCGCCCTCCACCTCTCCCATGCTGCCCCCGCCCTCCACCTCGACCACCCCTTTGCCGCCACCCTTTCTTTCGCCGCCCCTCGCCCCCACCGCCCTCCTCCTCCACCCCTCGCCCTCCCCCCCGGCCTACCGAACCACCCACCGCCCGCCCATGCCGACCTCCGCCCTCCCGCCGCCCTCCCCCCTTCCCGCCCTCCGCCTTCGCCATCCCCCATCTGTGCATTCCACTCCGTTCGCTCCCTCCCGCTTGGCGCCCATCCGCCCTCCGCCCTCGCCCTCCGCCCCTGCCCTGGCTGGCCTGGGTGGCACCTCCTTCCTCATCATCACGCGCCAAGTGGGAGGGAAGTGGACGGGGCCCTGAGCCGACCTAGCCCTAAACGGAATGGGGCGCCCAACACGTGCCGGATTACTGATTTACTGTGCCTTCCCCGGGCACAGCCTTTCGGTTCGTGAAGGGTCGGTGCGTGTCGTGACCCCCTGGAACACCCGTAACCCCGCACCATCTCCGACGCTTGGTTCTATAACCTCTGCCACAACCGGGAGCGGCCAGGGCTTCATAGACTCGGTCGAGAGACCCCAGAACACGAGCAAACTCAGGGAGTTCATGGCGCTCGGATACCCTGCACACGTGCTCAACGGGGTGATCGGGCGCGCGTTTGCTCGGACAAAGGACGAACGGCTCCTACGAGCAAGACAGTGTTCGCAGTGGTGAGGAGGTTTATTGCAAAACCCTTACCCAGACGAACCAAAAATCCAAAAAGACAGACAAATGTATTGTGTCGGGCTACCGTCCAAAGGCGGGTGTAGTCGACCAAGGGACCACGAATCTG